ACTTGTGGCCGAGTTGACTGCAGCCGAACTTTTTGTGGCCGAGTTGATTTGTGGCCGAGTTGACTTGTGGCCGAGTTGACTGTGGCCGAGTTGACTTGTGGCCGAGTTGACCTGCACCCTATGAGCTTCACTATATTAAATTGGAAAAATCAAATTTCATTATAAATATGATTAATAATAATATTTACTGCTAACTAAACTTTTGCCAAAATAATTATAAATGATAATGTATGCATATAAGATCACTGACCTACAGTATGACATGACTTGACTTTGCTTTCATAAGGTGGCTCCCTCTGTTGCCCGAGTTTTACTGATGGCCCATAACTGGATGTTTTCTGAAATAGAAAATAGGTAGGTAGGCTTGTTATTGTTGGATTGTGTGAAAGAGGATGAGAGAGGGTGGTATTTTTTTCCCCATCTGCGCTTTGGGAGATATTCTTTCCTTGTTTTTCCAATTACTACATCTGTCTACTTGTTGTTGCGCATAGAGACCCATGTATTTGGTGTGGTATAAATACATAACCTTTGTATTGATTGTAATGTTGAAATATTTAGTCAAGAGTACAAAAAAAAAAATACATTACAAATGCTGGTTTAAATAGCTCTCATGCTTGGTATATCTTAAACTTTAAATGTATAAAGACAGCAATAAAAAGTAGCCAATTTTTTATTTTGTTGAACCTCATAGGCTATTGTGTTGAAAGTGTTAATATCATCTGGTCTTAATTTTTATAATCATTTTAACATAAAACTAAAGAACTTGTATATAACTTCATGATTAAAATGCTATAAATGAACGATCATCATATTATTACATTATTATTACTATTCAGTATCCTGAATAAGGTAATAAATTAAGTTTAGGAGTATATATTGTTATAATTGACAATAAATCTTGAATACTGAAATTAAAAATTGGTGACTGGCATAACGCAATGAAAGTGATTTTAATGAAAACTATTATGTATTTTTCCAGGAATCAACAAGATATTTTGAATTTACTGAAAGATTGCAATGTAATTCCTAGAGCTGATCAGAGTATTCCAAAGGTAGTTTACATTATGTTTTGTATTTTTTTTACCAATTCCCAATTTGGTTATTTTTAGATACTTGTAAGATGTAATATCAGATAAGATTATAAAATAATTATGATAATAGAAAATAATAAAAATGATTTTTAAAAGTTATCAACAGCATGGAAAATGTTTTTTTTTTTTTCATTATAACCTTAAACACATTTCATTTATACAGAAAAATTCCATGAACTTTATAACACGTTCCATTTTACAGACAAATTCCACTACCACAACATAAAGTACATCTGCGTAAGCGCAGTATACTCAATAATAGAATCTCCAGCACCTTGTACTTCAAAGAGGCCACAGTATAAATTCCTATATTGCATATGTCTAGTAGTTTTTCATGAGTTTTTTTTTTTTTATTTCATTTACAAATTATCAAGTTTTTATATCCGTTGTGTTATTTAGGATATAGCTGTGCCTACAAATTACACATGTCCAGTGTGTGTCCAGAAGGTGCCAAGTGACAGCCTACATACACTCACCTGCGGTCATTTCTTCTGCAAGACTTGTTGGACTATGCACCTTGAATTCCAAATTCAGGACGGTGTGGCAACAGGTAAAATATACCCTAACAGATGACTATCAGACAATCAGATACCTGTATACACTGTACCACCACAGGATAACCCACAAAAATCTGAAGATGACTTATTTTCAGTGGGGTCCTTCTTGTGGTTTTTCGATCGTACACAGCGAGACAATCCCCTATTCCTTTCTTAAGAGTGTACTGCATTTTTAAACATGCACATGGGCCATTATGAACACAGGACCAGTGGCTTAAACGTCTCATGCAAAAGACGGTGCGCTATTGTAACTTTCAGCCCACTAGCTGAAATACAAGGAGAGAAGCAATAGGAATTGAACCGGGGACAAGGTGATCTCCACAGTTGGCTACCACCAGGTTAGCTGACTGAGCTAAGCTGCTCTCAATATGCAAGACGGTTAAATGTATTCTGACCAACAGTCAGACACACCATGAAATAGAGTCGGACATACTAACACAGATAATCAGATAATTGTCCTTTTTAAAACTATATTAAAGTCTTTCACGGAATACATAATACAGTATATGCATTTATATATTTATATCTTATTGTATTCTACTGGCTTAAAGTACACATTACAAATGCATAGTATTGCAAGAAATTGTAATTTTAGTTAGTTTGTTTATTTAGTAGTAAATGAAGGATGTTTTAATAATTTGCTTTAGCTATTAATGCTCTTCTTTTTTGTATCCTCAGATATTCAATGCATGGCTAGTAACTGCTCCATTGTTGCTACCGAGGACTTTGTTTTGCCTCATCTAAGCAACCCTAAATTCAAAAATAAGTACCTGATATTCTGTATGAGGGATTATGTAAAGGTTAGTTATCAATCTTGACAAAAATAAATAATGGTCTGTCCACGCTATCAGGTTTTATGCGACAAACATATGGGATATGCCTGTATTTGGTTGTAATATCAGTGGCGGATCTAGGGAGGGTGAATAGGGTGGCTAGCCACCGCCCTTCCTTTACCATGAAAAATAAAATAATGGTCACCCGTCTTGTTTGTGTGCTTCTCGTGTACTCTAGTAAAACATACACTTTCTATTTTAAGCTTACTTCTTTTCAGATGCCACCTGAGATTGTCTAGCAGTCTACTAATTCCAAAAAAAATCCCAAGTCTGAGGGGTTGCCCCTCCCAAAAGCACCCCCCCCCCCCGCTCATGCCTTCTCACCTCCCATATCCACCCCCCATTGCTAAATCCTAGATCCACCACTGAATATAACATTATCATGTCCATATATGGGCACATCACTCAGATTAGTCACATGAAATGCGATAAGGTGGACAGAGCTATGTAGGATAATGATTATTATAGCCACCTATGGCTATGCCTTGTTGAAATGCTTGTTCTTGTCAAAGGACCAAAGTTCAGCAGTTTTGAGACCACTTAATACTTCAGTGGGAGACTGTCTAAGAACAGAAGGTGCTGTAAGCGCAATTAGTGGTCAAGCAATACAGCAGAGGAACCACACTCTACTGACATAATGTGAGTTATCATTGGCGCCTGTTTATATCCTGCTCACACAGGTTTCCAGTTGCTAGACCCAATTTTCGTTGGGTAAGCATGTAGGCTCAGTTTTCACAAATTTCTCATGTGCCACTTAAACAATCTAGGACATCCTTAGGGGATAGTATACAATATTGATTACTCGTGAGCAGAATGTGTAGTCAATGTGGAGGTGATGTGGAGACTGCAGCCTATCTTCCCGAGTGCACATAGCAACGTGGCCTAGAGATTTACACATCATGCGGCAGGGCAAAAAAATACTATCCCATAGGAAAATATAGCACACTTTCTTCTTAACTAATGAAATGCCTAATCTATATATGCGGTATATAGTAGAGATTGTAATGGTGTTCTGGTCCACACAGCACTTATCCTTTCCACCAGAACTTAATATAATATGTCATAACAAGGGGTCTTACTCTCATGTGATTGCATTGTACTTTCATGATTGGCTGGATTAAAATGTATTTAATATGAGCAAATACAAAGCATGCTAACATCCCTTCCTGTTCATTTCAGACTCATTACAATCTACGTCAGTGTCCTGGAATAGACTGTGAGGTCACAGTTAGGTCATGTGCTCCTCAACCGAAGAAAGTTTTATGTACCAAGTGTAAAGCTAGCTGGTGGTAAGAACCTAGAAATCACTAATGTACCAAAAAATGTGGTTTTAAAAATTAAGATATATACCCTATATTCATATACATATAATAATGTATATATATATAGATTAAAAGGCAAAATACTGGAAACAACGATGCTGTGGGAAACAATGGCTGGATCTCAGTAGAGATACAAAAATGATAAACAACAGCTAAAAAGTAAACGCAAGTAAACAGCCAGAAATAGAACCAGAGCTTTCGGACAACACTAGTCCTTCCTCAGTGGCGAGTGAGTGAGGGTAGAAAAAGCTAGATGGTATAAAGTGAGAATTTCATGCAAGCATGATTGGAAACAATAGGCTGGGTGAGATTAGAATAAACAGCCTAAACAAGTAAACAGGAAGGCCAAATCTAAACATTAGAGGCAAGCCTCAATAAATAAGCCAAATGATTTATCCAGAATAAATTGAAATGCCATTGGTTTAATTTAGTGTACTGGGAGAACGTTCCTAATATTGAGTCCAAATGGTGTGGTTGTTTTAAGTAAAAGTTCCCAGTGATTCTCTTTATCCTGTCTCTTATATTTACCTTTAGATTTATATATAATTTAACAATGTTAACTGCTATTTCTCACAAATTTTTAGACCCTTCTCAATGCGTAGTATGTATATTTTTAGTTTGCCAACATATTTTTCCAGAATGACATGATTAACCTTGAGTATCCCCACAATATTTATTTAAACCATATAATTTTGTTTCCCAGACAATTACATTCAACAAATGTTCCAATCAAAATGTTCCATTAACCTAGTACCATATCTGCTGCTACTCCTTCATTCATTTGTTTGTCCATGTTTTTTCCTTCAATTTTGTTCTCTTTTAGTTACCAGTGTACAGGGAGTTACCACGCCCCTGCAGACTGTGACACGATTAAACGCTGGCTCACCAAATGTGCTGACGACTCAGAAACCGCCAACTACATAAGTGCTCATACTAAAGATGTAAGGTTTTTTTCCATTGGAATAAAGCAGGTATAGCAAATAAAGTATAAACATAGGCATAGGCTGGGGATGCAGACACACTGCCTCCCCCACCCCCATGGCATCAAATAAATTCCACAAAAGCGGGTTAAAATAGTTAAAAAGTCAACATGAAGTTTTAATTTGAATATAGATTTAGTTCCGCATTCTTGGATTCAGTTCCACATTGTCATTTCGCATTTATTTTCTTTTTTCAGTGCCCCAAGTGTAATATTTGCATTGAGAAAAATGGTGGATGCAACCACATGGTAAGAGTTATTGAGAGACTAGTTGAGAGAAGAAGGATGATATTGGTAGTGATGATAATAATAATAATAATAATAGTAATAATGATAATATTGAAGGTGATGATGATAATATTGACATTGTAAATGATTATTGATTATGATTATGATTATTGTCCATATAGTAATAAGTATTATAAAGTCGAACATTTTTTAATTTCAATCTTTATTTTTCAGCAATGTTCTAAGTGTAAACATGATTTCTGCTGGATGTGTCTAGGAGGTAGACCATGCATTTTGTTATTAATAGCTTTTATAATGAACAAGTTGATAATTGTGAAAATAAATATGGATCTAAAATTATCACGATACCAATTGATATTACATAAAATAATAACATGAAAAGAATAAGAAATAAACATTTATAGATAATTTTTTTAATCATTTATGGTGAAATTAAATATGTTTTGTAAACTAGATAGTGTTGTTTATTTTTTCTTTTTATCTTTTTTAATTCATAGAGTGAATGTGATTTTGAAATTATATTAGTGTTACGATATAATGACAAAAAATTATAATCACATAACAATTTTTTTAACAGATTGGAAGAACCATGGTAGCGAATATTATGAGTGTAGTCGATATAAGGAGAATCCCAACATATCAAATGAATGTGCACATGTGAAAGCTAGGGAAGCACTAAAAAAATATCTATTTTACTTTGAAAGAGTAAGTTTTGAATTGATTTTATGTATAATCATTTACAAATATACTTCAATAGCAATTAAGTATTTAATTTTTTTATTTCTGTTGCTTTGTTCTTTTCTGGATGCACCGTTAGAATTTGTCTAACGTGTGCCACTGTTATAAAAGTGTTATCCAATAAATATTGTATTGTATATAGTACATTCCAATCCATTTTGATTGCTTTCGGCCCCCTCACACTGAACTAGTTCAAAGAATGTTCCTTCCCGAAAATTTCATGAAACGGGATAAAGACTGGTTGAAACGTGCAATTTTGGCAGTTCAAAGTAAGTGCATTATTATTGCAGACAGTTTTCAATGTTCGCACAACGTTTAGAATGACCTTACCCAGTCCCATTTTTTAACGTCCTAGCCCGTTCATACTGTTTGTACGGATTGTATTCGGTCTCTACTATGTCCATTCCGTTCATATTCCGTTCGTCCCGTTCTCCAGAAAGTAGTACGAACTAGTTCAGTGTGAAGGGGATATAAAATAGAAATTTATTCACTTCTGCCTCTCTTTACCCATGATTTATAAATGCATACCTCGTTGGATGTCCTATGTTAAATGTATTTAATAGTAATATTCCTAGAATAAAAACCAAGTATAGTATACGTACTGTTACATTTCGATCTTGGTTCAGCAGGCAATGAATCTGGGTACAATATGTCATTAGCAACAGTATTCAAACTTCAATAGTGCCCTGTGCCAGCTGTCATGCTATTATTCAAAGACTTAATGTATTTGTTAGAATCAGAATTATTTGACTTTTGAACATGAATAATTTGGTCTTTTGTAACTGACTACCAATGCAAGTTGCAATTATGTTTTTGTGATCACTCGATAGTGATTTAGTTAACTTTTGGGGTGTCCTGTCTCATATTTTTTTGTGTTTGTTCCTTTCTGTTTCTTTTAATACTGTCAATTTTAATGTTTTCGAAAAAATTAAATGAAATGAAATGAAGTTAATTGCCTGAATTTACCTTAACTTTTCATGATTTATTTAGTTCATGATTTAAATATTTGTATTCTTACCATATTTATTGGCTTTTCTTTTATTTGTTTTTTAAATGATGTCGATTACTTTTTCTTCATTCTAGTGGGAAAATCACTCAAAGAGTTTAAAATTAGAAGAACAAATGCTTGAAGGAATCAATGAGAAGATACAGGGTAAAGTGATGAGCAACACTGGTACTTGGATTGACTGGCAGTATCTACTGGACTCGGCAGCCCTACTTACGAAAGTTAGTCTACAGTTTGTTATGTTTACATTATTAATAAAAGCATTAGGCAAAAGAGAGTTTGCGTTGCCCATGCCCAAACCACCCAGAAGTTACAAAACCTAGGATTGACTATTTTTGTGTTTTTTTGCACATACAGTATATACTTTCCCTAATGAGAGTTTATAATGAGAGTTTATTATATATTACCTTTTAGGTTTTAATTTTTTAATTAAGATTATAGGCTAAGCCTATAGTAAACACACAATGAAATGACCGGCCCTGATTTCCAGTTGTTACTGTGCTTGGGAACACAACAATTTTAGGGTATTCATATTTTTGTTTTTGTAGCAGTTGTTGCTATTTTTGGTGTTGTCAATATTGTTTATATTATTTTTGTTGTTATCATTATTTTTAATTTGCTAGTGTCGGTACACCCTACAATACACCTACCCATATGCGTACTACTTGGAGTGTGGCCCTATGAAGGATCTGTTTGAGTACCAACAGGCACAGCTAGAGGCTGAAATTGAGAACTTGGCTTGGAAGGTTGAAAGAGCAGAGACCACAGATCGAGGGGTAAATCTTAAAAATGTTGTCATTTTCTGTGACGGATACCTAGGATTGTCCCATATTTGGGTGATGTTGTGATGTCATCATGCCCATATATGGACAAATGACAGATATTTGTCACAGTAGACCTGATAGTGTTAACACTTTTTAGCCAATAGAAAAGCTGTGGTACAAAATACTTGGCCATTACATTGTATAGTAGACAGAGCTTAAAAAAGAAAAAGACATGAAGAGCATATATCTTGCAATTTGAGACTACCAACAAGCAGTGGTGGTTAGGGGAACATAATGAACAGGTGTTTTAATGGTGCTGGCGGAGGTCTCAATTCACCTGCAAGTCATGGAAGTCTTCCGGAAATTGGTACCAGCCTCCCTCACTCCCGCAACCGGACTAGAACCTCCCGGAAATTAACCGGCAAATTTCATAAATCTGCATGTTTTTACTACTGTATTGCCCATTTATTATCATTTGCCTCACGGAAGTCAGTGTCGATGGGTATCCCCATAAGCAGTGAAATGAAATGTGCTAAGAAAGGCAGTTTAAACAGAGCTCCTGGAAATGTCTTCTTCCTACTTGGGACCCCGCCTACTGTATTGATTTATTATGAATAGTGTTTTTATTGTTAATATCTCAATTAATATATTGTATTGTTTTTTAAATGATGATTGAATTTTGTATATTTTTTTAACTTTTAGGATTTAGAGAATCAAATGGATGTTGCCGAAAAACGGCGTTTAACTCTTCTACAGCGATTCTTTGTTTAACAAGATTGATGATTGCAAGATTTCATGGAACTCACATAAAGAAGATGTTTAGAGTACTTGTCAAGAATTTTTTGAATGTTTCAACTCCATTTGATGGAATTGGTCAGAATTAATGATATACCGTATGTATTCGAATAAATGCCCCGCTTTGAATAATTTCTGCCTTCAAATAAACACCCCTCTAAAGCCTCATTTGGAATATTTTTGAGCATATACGTATCCATTTTACACCAAAAACAATAAACGCCCCCCTCGAATAAACACCTCCCTCAAATAGATGTCCCCGCGAATAAATTCCCCCTCAAAAAACCCCTCTCAATAACCACTCCAGGGTGTTTATTCGAATAAATAAGGTATTACACTGTGATGGTTTGTACAGGCAATCTGGTGAGTTTGGGAATTGTCGTTGAGGGCAACGAATAAGTGGTTTCAACTCACCTTCATAGCTTCAATTTAACTGCATGATAATCAAAAGTATAGGAAAAAAAATTATTTGAAACCTATTTCATTGCACTAAACTAACCTTTATATATCTATACAGCATGCCATGCTGTTATTTTCCCCATTTTCAAACAACAATTTTTAACAATTTGGTGATGGTCTCTGCCTGAGAAATGCCCGAAAGCATAAACTTTGAAGGGTGATTTCTCAAATATTGTTCTTTAACAGCTCTATGTTTGAATGCTTGTAACTTCATAAGGAAATGTCAGATTTAAATGATTCTTTTAATATTTTATAGCTCTCATTTTACTGTTTAACACTCTTGCAACCAGTGAATGGTTTGTCTTGCCTTTGCCACGATTATTGATTGCGATGTTGAAAATAAGTCTCAAATTATATTCAGTACTGGTTAGTTAAACCATTATTTGTTTGTGTTTGTTTATAGGTGCCATAGTATGAAATGATAAGAGTGGTCAGTATCAGTGCAGGGGGACTTGGTGGGTTTTTTTTTTTTTTTTTTAAGGGGAAGGCTCTGTCAGTTTTATTAAGTTATTTTATTATGTGTTACTTGTTTCTAAACACTATATTCATTGATATAAAACTAATACTGAAATTATGGTAATGAAAATTGATAAATGTTTTGTTTTAATTATTTTATACAATTGGTATTGTAAATAATTTGGGTGGTATAAAGCAAAACATAGGGGTGGGTTTTTTTTTTTTATTTTCTTGTTTTTTTTTCGAATTGATGGTAGGTATGAATTAGCAATGATCATGATTGTTCGACCTTATATTATGTCCACACTAAGTTTTTTCGGTACCTATGGTTTGTCCATATGTGGCCATGATATACCATCATATATGCTCATATATAGGCAAATCAAAGATGTTTGTCATATAACTTTTTAGTGCAAACACAGATTATATACTAATTCTCTTAAAGGATAAAATGCAAGAGAGCTTTATCTAATTTATAATTGACAATTTTTTTTTGCAGCACAACATATAAGGAATATCTATCTTGAACAAGCACATACTACTGTGGATTATCATGGATATTGGAAAATATAGCTTTTTATTAAGGCAAAACTGTACTTTTCAACAAGATGTATTAGATATGTGCAAAATTATACTAATCAAAATTCTAATAAATAATTACTAAATACTTCCACATAGAAAATTGTACCATGAGCAAATATAAATTAACATACATGTATTATGTATAGCTAAAAATAACTGTGTATGAAAAAGAGGTACCAATTTGTAAAATATTTGTCTTCCTAAAAACCATACGGCAAGGTATTAATAGTACATCTTATAAGAATATTCTAATTGTATAAATACCTGTGCACTCATTATAATACATAGATTATTCACATTCAGTGGTGTATCTAGAAGTCTTCAACTAGAGGAGCT